GGGCGCACCCTTAGAGATAGGGTGAGGAGCTCGGTCACCCGGGAGGAGCTCAGAGTAGAACCGCTGCTCCTCCACATCGAGAGGAGCCAGCTGAGGTGGCTCGGGCATCTGTTTCGGATGCCTCCTGGGCACCTTCCTAGGGAGGTGTTCCAGGTATGTCCCACCAGGAGGAGGCCCCGGGGAAGACCCAGGACACGCTGGAGGGACTACATCTCTCAGCTGGCCTGGGAACGCCTCGGTATCCCCCCGGAGAAGCTGGAGGAAGTGTCTAGGGAGAGGGAAGTCTGGGCATCTTTGCTTAGACTGCTGCCCCCGCGACCTGGTTCCGGATAAGCGGAGGAAGATGGATGGATGGATGGATGGTTTACAAAAAAAAAAAGAGTTGTCTGAGCTTTAAACTCACCTCCTTTATGAGGAGTTTGAAGAGAGAGGGCACTCTTACAGCGATCTCATTCTCCCCGAAAAACAACCTCCTATTAAACAAAGAGTTTCAAACAATCTTTAACATTTAGAAAATAGCAGGTGTTGTTCTATTTTATTTTTTACACAACTTTTTACACAAATTTGACTTTATTTGCCAATTTAAAACATTCATCATTCGATTCTGTAAGGTTAGTTAGTTTGATCAGATCCGATTTGATACCATGCATCTGTTGGCACTGAAATGTTCCTACAGTGTTGTGCTTCTTGACCATTGTGTATCTGGTAATCTATTTCTAAAAACAACATGTGAAATGCTTCACTGTATGTTTACTTTAGTTTGCAGTGAGTTGGTCAAACAAGCTGCAGAAAACATCTGATATCTTTAGCCAGGTGATATTTGTCCTCCCCCACCTACACACAAGAGTGTCAGAATATTAGGAACACCTCTGAATATAATGTAGTCCAGTGCAACACCACCTTTAACTGTGACCTCAACAATAAACATATAAATTAATTTATACAGTTATGACAATTTCACCAAAAACTGAAACATTTTGAGCTTCATAAACACAGATGTTAAAGCGGAGGTGTTGCATTGAAATACATACAACTGTACAGGTGTGCCTAATAAAGTGGCTGGTCAGTGTGTAATACTGTACTTACTGTATATCATCTAAGAAAAACAAACTCACTGTTGAGTAGCTAGAAAAGAACATGGTACTATATGACATAAATTAATACCAGTGTAGCCTAATGTTGGCTGCAGGTGTAAATACAGCATAGCAAATCATAAGTGGCTGTGTAAATATTTTAGATCTTATATAAATTACATGCTAGAATGTGGTGTTGTAGGTAGCGCAGTATGTTTGAGCTGTATGGCCGAGGTCCAGAGATATGCTGAGCAACAGTAATACTATACAGTGCTAAACAGTGAACCAGTGTTGTGATACATTTTATTCAGTAGTTCCTAGTTTATTCATGATTGTATTATTCACTGACTGGAGAAATAGTAAGGAAATAAAATAAAGTAAGTAAAGCAAAAAGCCTGCCCTTGACAATATTTGTGTGACAATATTTAACATTTGAGTCATATGACCTGACACTTCCTCCACACCCACTATGTAGAGACAAACTGTTTTACTGTGTGTGTGTGTGATGTACCTGTAGTCTTGCAGTGCTTTAGGAAGCCCAGAGCTGTAGTCAGAGTGGATGCTTGTACAGCTCATCCTCACATCCTCCAGACCTCTAGAAAAGGCACACATCCATTTCTGTTGGGGTTGTGCAGTTGCACATGTACATGCAACATACTGTACTGCTTCTTTTCATCTCTTACCTATAAAATTCAAAGTTCTGTATCACATCATTCCAGTAGTATTTAGTGCTGTGGTGGGTGAAGTAGTGGATCTGAGAGAGGGAGGGAGAGAGAGTTTAATAAGCACACCTCAGAAGCAGCCTATTCCTGATCTGTGCTCCAAACTCTAAATGCCTCCAAAAGCAACCAATTGTTCTAAGAGATCTTTTACTCATGAACAAGTATAAGAAGCCAGTGTGTGCTTCATATGCAGAAAACTGATTTAAAAGAAGAAACAGTTTTTTCTACTGAAGCACCTGAGCAGGCTGCACATAAGCACATTTCCCATGATGCTCTTCATGTACAGCGCTGACGCTGTGGTGTTCATTTGGCAGCTGCAGGTCCAGAGTGTCAAAGGGTTTCTTCCCCGGCGCCAACATCACATGTACTTTGGTTCGAAACCACTGTCTGAATTCATCCTGTGATAACAGGATAAAGAATTACATTTTCCACATCTGTGGTGATATATTGAATTTATCACCTATACTGTAATAAAGTATGTGCTAAGGAATGTAACAAGCACAGAGATGATTTGTGTTCAGCCGTGTGGTGTGCTGCACAAAAGTGAGCTCTGAAAGAAGCAACAAAAGAGTCACACACACAAACACACAGGCAAGTACATTAGTTCTAATTTTAAAAATCATGTGTTTTAGCGGGGGCCTCATTTACAAGAGTGCACTGCTTCATATATATTTTCTTTATGTGAAATTAATGTACGAGAATTTTTTCTTTACAAATAAAGTATAAGTCAGTTGTGTAAAAGAAGAATGAAGGGAGTGCTGTTCCCCTACCGTGGTCCTGAGCAGCAGTGTGTGAGCGTCCTTCAAGGAGGTGAGTGTGCAGGTGCCCTTGACGCCCCACTCAGGCAGCCAGAACAGCAGCAGCAGCAAGAGGCCACCGGAGCACACAGTACCTACACTCACCAGGATTATCTTCCACAGACAGGGCCGGTACCCCCACAACTCCTGGACACAGGCAGGCACTCATTTAACACGCTGAAGAGTGGGATAAATACACTGTTCTGTGGTTCACAGACGGGAGTAAACTGCATGTAAACACTGCTTTGTACTTCAGATTCAGTCCTGATTGGAGGCTGTCAGGTTGAAGGAAGTAGCCATTTAAATGAAGAACAAGATTTAACACTGGTATTTTCCTTAATGTCAACAAACCCCTTTTTCACAGCAGAGATTTTGACTTGACAGGAGAAGAAAAAACACATGCTTTATTAATAACAGTGGCTTTGTTAAAGTATCTCAGCAAGTCTATGACCACGAGCCAGCTCGCGACAACACCAGGACCCTGAACTGGAATTCAGCCATCAGTAATTTTATTAGTTACATCTGGGCTTTTCATACTGTGGCTTTAACAAGCATTACTCACATTACAGCAGTAAATGGTGCGTTTGCTGGGAGCTAGTCTTAGTAGTGTTATGAGTTAATTCAAACAGAGTGCTTTTGGTGGTTTGCCAGTCTGTAACTGAAAACTCTGGGAACTTTTGGAAAACAATCCTATTTCCTTCTTGCCTAGTGTTAGACAAGTAAACAAACTTTATTTATAGCCCAATATCACAAATTTGCCTTAAGGGGCCTTAATATTTGGCCAGCATATGACACCCTCTGTCCTTAGACCCTGGAATTGGATAAGAAACTACAGGAAGAGAAACAGCGGAGGGATCCAGGATGGCCAGACGTGCAATAGATGTGTGCACATAGCAGGTTAACATAACAGACTTACAGTGTGAACAATCAGAATGATGACATTGTATATTGCAGACATATGTGAACAGCAGCTCACAAACACATTAAAACAACAAACACAGCCTACAGATCACCAGCTATTATTATTGGTGATTAATATCCCCATTTCCCTCCAAACATGTCATTACACTGGCACACAGCTAACCAACTGAAATCACACGTCAAACTGTTATTTCTCTCTACATACAGGTACTATTTTATAGAAGGTTTTAGGAAAAATTAAGTCAGCTGCAATGCATTGTTCAACACTAACTAAAAGGTCCTGTGGAAAGAAGAATTAAGATGGGAAGTGATATTTACCATCTCATCCTCCTGGCCCTGGTTGATCAGCTTAACCTCGATTGTCTTCATTCTGTCAGAAGTGCAGCAACTACAAGGAAGTGCAAAGTGTCTTTCTCATCAGTTGTGTCTGGTCAATAAAAATCTTGCAACTTCAATTTTGGTCAAGGCATTACCAAATTCAGGTTTATGGCTTTGAAGCAAGAACAACTGCTGCACTTCACTGGGAGAGGAACTTAGTGATTCATTTACTTCACTGTTACCAATTTCCATCACTGGCCACCCAGAGAAGAAGAGTTAGTTAAATATAAAAACGGAATTCAGAGAATACGATTGGACACGGACAATGTGTTCAAAGCTTGTGGTGATGAACTCCTCCCTCATCATTCTTGAATATTTCACCCGTGTTTTTTCTGGAACACTACCAGAGATGGAAAATGAAGCACCTGTGTAAAACCATTAGCAACTTTCTCCTTGAATTCACAGCTTTGACTCTTTGGATGAACGACTTTCACTCCCACATTTTAATGTGGTTTTATTGATCAACATGTCCGATATGTAGGATGTGAACCTCACAACACACTAACAAACAAAGACATTACTCAAGTACTGTGCTTAAGTACAATTTTGAGGTATCTGTAGTTTGAGTGCTTTAATTTTGCTCTACTTCATACTTCACTACATTTTAGAGGCAAATACTGTAATTTTTACTCCACTACAGTTTTTGGTTAACTTTAGTTAGTTTCAGAATTAATCTTTAAAAATATTTATCCCTGATGGGAAATTCATAAGCGACACAGCAGTACTTCACATGTAGTTAAAAGGAGGCCCACCTTTACCAATTGAGAGAACAGTTCCTCCAGTACAATCAGCTAAAATCTATAATTAAATCAAAGATTAGTGTAACCAATAACCCACTACAACCTTCCAAATTTATTGAAGAAATTATGAAAATTACATCCTCCAAGAAAATAATATCCAAACTATATAAACTCATATCAAATACAGATTCAACAATAACAATACCAAAACTCAAATGGGAAAATGATTTAACTCTCCCCCTCAACTCCAACTTCTTGACAGAAATT